CGGTTCCTATCAAGGGACTCTTGAGACCTCTTTTCACATGATTGCATTTTCGGACATCATGTAACGTTATTTCATGACATGGCGCTACATCATGGCAACTTTGCTGCTTGCCTGGAGTCATTATCTGATTTTATTGGACGGTTCTTATCGAACCATCGTCTCGGAGACGCCTTGAAAATGGTTTCCAAAATTGTTGTTGTTGCGCCGTATCAAGAACTCAATTCATGATATGAAACTGCTTTGCTGCAACTTTCCTCACTTTGTCGCTTATTTGGGGTTGCGGTTTTCATCGCACCACCGTCCGAGAAGACTCGTTCGACCTGTTCCAAATGTTTCCAAAAGGAGAGAACTTTTTAAGCACCTTCACGATTATGACGTTGCGTGACTGCAACCTCATTTGAAACGCTGAAGATCGCATGCTTGAAAAAATACCTGAAGTCCGACCAATCTAGTTGACTGCGTGTTAGTTTTTTAGCACCGTGAGTTGACCAACCATGGCGTTGGCATTTCTTAACACTAAACTGCATCACGGCATCTCTGCTCTTTATTCCGAGTCGTATGTGATATCCACTGGATGGATATCATTGAAACAGCATCTCAGAGACTCTGGAGACCTGTTTCAAATGTTTTTAAATCGTTGTTGTTGTTGTGTCTTCTCAATTCAGGACACTGCATCACTGCAACTTTGTTGCTTGTCGGTCGTCGTCCTCTCGGAGACCACAAATTTTACGATTTCAGTTTGTAGCCTGCACCTGTAGAAGACCAGCAGTCCAACGATCAAGTTCACTGCACGTTTGTTTGCTTAGCACCACAAGTCGAAATCTTCCACCTCGCATGAGCGGTCCGCTTTTTGGGGTACTTTTGCCCCTACACTGAACTGCGTCTCATAAACATCCGGAATGGTGAGAGAATGTCCAGGCGCTTCCTGGAGCGCCGGCGCGGCGTACACACACAACCCGTGGATGCCGTCTCGACGTAACGCGTCCTGTCCCGCGGCAGGTAAGCGTCAGAGAAGCCGAGCTCACGGGGAACGGCGTCGGAACGGCCGCGCGGCTTGCCCTCGCTGCGGTACCACAGGCATGAGCAGATGGTCTGGAAGTGCAACACCTCCGCGTAGACGTCTTTAGCCTTGGGCGTGGACGGCGCCGAGGCGGCGGGCGGCACCAGGCACGTTATCTCCGAACCGGGCTTGCCGTTGCCCGGCGGGGCCCCGTGCCTCAGGGCGTCCCTCCGCTCATCCTCGGCGTTCATGGTGAGGAAGCGCAGCACCACCAAGTTGAGGAAAGCGCCGATGACCGTCAAGCCCGTCAGGATGTAGACGAAGCAGAAGGCCACGTAGCGCGGCTCCTTTTGCAGGGCGTCGTGCCGCTGCAGCGCCACGTAGTCGCCGAAGCCGATGGTGGT